AATAACCACAAATCTATTGTCAGTGGTCATTGGTCAACAATATTATTCTACTGATCAGGTTTAGAATAAAGTTACAAGATATGATAACATATTTCTCATACCTATCGGTGAATTGATCACTTCAAATCAGTTTACACAAAGTTTGTTTACTAGTTGTATTTGTATGTTGTTCTACTTTGATTTAAACAAATTCTGTTTATGCTAATGAGATGTAACAACCGCCAGTTGTTTTGATAGGTACTGAAATGAAGTGAAATAATCTACTATTGCAGCAGCAAAATGTTGGTTAAGTGAAACTAATGATAGTCCTAATACATTCATATGTCAATAGAAGCCATTTGTCTTCAATTTATATACAAATATATACACTTATACTAATGTCCCTTGGGTGCTATTTATTTGTTCTTGGTAACAAAAGAATAAATGAAACGAATTAAAGTTTAGGAGGTCCAGTGACTATTTCCCCGAAAATACTTCAGATGAATAATTTTACTCAGCAGAAACGTTTCAAGCCTGGAGAAGTAGACTAAGGCTGAAAGTGATACGATGACTCACAGCGCTATAAATGAACACAGAGTGAAAGAAATCTCTTTGTATTCAAAAATCTCAAGTCTAGAGTGATTTATCCATCATTAGATGTGAAGTATGCTTTCTCACTTGATTCATAAAATGTTTTTTAGCAAGTGTAGCTGTTATTTTCTGAAAAAAATCATCATGTCATTGGCCTACTTATTATTCAACCACTTGTTTCTACTAAATTTCAAATGATTATGGTGAGATGAAGAAAATATAAGTGGTTATGGAAACATAAGGAGCTGAGGGTAGCGTTTGAAAATAGATGATTTAATGAAAAAACGCCAAAATATATACAGAAATCTTTTTGAAATAATAAAATTATCAAAAATTTTTCATCAGCTGAAGATTTATCATTTAGATGAAAAGATGAATTTACTATCAAAGTCCGTTCATTCAACTAAACATTTATAGAGTCGATTTATGTACTCACTTCTACACTGATACTTCTTATGTTTACTGATATTCTGCAGCATTGTGTGTGAGAAATATGATACTCATAATCATCCTTATTTCCACATTTATAGCACTAAAACTGCACTACTTGTCTCTTGTTATCTTAAACTATCAAAAGAAATCTCACTGAGGATTTCTCAACAAAGGATCTCCCTTCAATTATTGAACAACCCTTCATCGAAATACCTGTTTTCTTTCATCCTCAAATATTGACCTTTCTCTCCTTATTTTAGTTAGTGACAGTGGAGGGGTAATGTAGGGACATGAAGAGCACACTTTCGGTTATGCGTCATTTGTCCTCGCATTTCCCATGAGTTTATTTCTTTACAAAATCCACTCTGTTTTCTAAACGTATAAGCTGATGGTAAACTTTACAGTGATGGATTTCTCAGAATAAGTATATAATATATAACAGTATGCAAAAGTCTTAAAGTCAAATCACGGATATTTAAAGTGAACGTATTTTCCAAAAGTAGTTTATGCAAAACTTTAAATGTACTTCAAATCCTTGGATATATTCGATATATTCAAAAACGCTGAAATCTGAGTGAATCATAACTGATGTTCAGATATTTAGTGAACACAAAATCGCCAGTATGTTATGTCGAGAAAATCCTGTATTACTTCTAGAAACAGTCAGAATTTCCTCAATACTTTTTCCTAATTGAAAACTAATTCGATAGTAGGGGGAGGATCTAACCTAACTACACAATGACCACCTGCTGTTGGGAGCTAGGTATATCGGATGTACACAGCGCTTACTGTTCAAACGTATCATAGGATATTTACCCTCATGGTTTTACAAAAGAGAAGAAGGATCCCACTGCAACTCTCTTCTGGAGCACATGGTCGTTTCTTAACATCAAATGAACTTTCAGATAAGCTTTAGACTAATTTTGTCAAAGGTGTACGAATCAAACTTCTTCAAACCGATATGGTAAATTCTGAACTCTTCATACAGAAGAATTTTGTTCAGCTGCTGGACCTATAAGAGACCTTATTTGCCCCACCATTTGACGCTTAATTTTCCTTTAATTTTATTATTTTTTCTTTTTTTCAATGTATTATATCTGTACTACTTATGACAATGATCTTAACTTCACTATGTTTCAGTTTTACTTTAACTATGCTTAATCCTGTCAATTATTTTATCTCACTTAATTTACTTATTTGATTTTCCTTCAGTTTCTACCTGGCTAATGTTTTTTGTGTTACGTAATTTGGAATCTCTTCATTGTTATCTAATAAATGGAACTTTAATAATGAATCACCGGAAGCATTCCTTTTTTGTTATTATTATTATTGTTTCCTTTAATTCCTACAGGAACATAGGGCTTCAGCCGTGCATCTCCATTGCGTTCCGTTCTCTGCTAGAGTCTTCACCTGGCTCCAAGTCTGCCCACACGTTTTCATCTCCTCTTCACATGACCTCCTCCAAGTCACCCTTGCACTGACAACCAACTCGCCGCTTCCCTTTCGGGTTCCACTCGAGCAATGGCTTGTCTAGTGATGTCACTTGATGGTTTCCTCAGAGTATGGCCAGCCAATCCATCTCCATTTCTTCCTGCCTATTTGTTTCACAATTGGTTCCTGGTTGGTTCGCTCATTGCCAGAGATCCCTGTTGCTGATCTTTTCTGGCCATCTGATCTTGAGTACTGAGCGAAGATAACCGTTGATGAAGGTCTGTAGTTTGTTTGAGATGCTGTTTAATACGCGCAGTGTAAGTATCTGATCCGTATAGTAGCACTGACTTCACATTGGAGTTGAAAATCCGGATCTTATTATTGTTATTGAAATGTATTATATATATCAGTGAAAATAATAGCTGTTCGCTGAACTTCCTTTCTTTTGTATTACTGAATGGAAGCTTTCAAACTACTTATATTTCCATCAAAAGTTTATACAGAAATTACAGTGATAAGCTAGCCAAATGTGTGAAATCACAATGAATGGCAGTGTAAGCATCTCTTTACAATAAAATCCTTATAACTGATGGTAAGACTATCCAGAACAGCTTTGAATTACTAAGCCTTCACTGATATGGTGCATGAAGCTGGACGACAAGGTGAAAATTCAGGCCAGTTCAGGATTTGAACTAGTGACTTCCGAATTATCAGAGTATTGGCCTAGAAATATGGAGACTCTTGGTTTCAGTCCTAACATGACTTAGATATTCATTCCACTTTAAATTATCCTCCATCAGATCCTTGTAAGGAGAAACATTTGACCATTAGAAAGCATGAAGTAAAACTGTTATTCAGGTGGAAGATGATGTACTTACAGAAGATTGAAAACTAATACTGAAATTAACTGAATTAGTGCCTAATATTGAATACTAAACTAGATTTCGTATTATTCATGTTCAGTATGTATTAGATAATTGACATAAAGGTTAAATACCACAGTTTATGAATTATATTACGAAAATGTATTGTGCTTTGATTGTAAAATGATCTGATTCAAGGTCACTAGAAAGTCATGGTTTCTTAAACGTCATGTTGTCTTTATATAACCTTTCAGAAAGGCGTTAAGATATCATTTACAGTGATAATAAATGTATATATGTACCACAGATTTCGAATAGACGATACGGTATATTAACTTATTACGTCACGCACTACATTTCACTGGTCTAGGCTTTGTAGTTAGCCTAGATAATAAGAGTTGAATCAGTATTTAAGAAATTTTCAAATAAATCAATGCTGAATGCTATCCACTTTGTTCTCCTTTTATTTAAAGAGCCGAATCACCATTTCAAGTGAGACAGTGTTTCTAAAAATTTTATTCAGTTTATATATTTCTCTTATTGGTCATTGCGTACATGCCGTGGGTATGTCTGATGCATTTTCTACACTCTTCTGTGAAGAATAACTTTACAAAATGAAATGCGTTCGACGAAGAGTTACACTTTTCGGCAACATCAATTTCAAGATGTACAATCACTTATTTACAATTAATTGTCTCAGCAACAAAATGAATATTTCCTAAGATGTATCACGAGAATTGTAAATTTTAGACTCCTAATTACGTAATGACGAAAGCATTAATCGGGTAGGAACTACAATAAAGCAAATTAAGTAAATTGAGTGACTTAATAAAACTGATAGGGTTGAGTAGAATTCAATTAAAATCGAACGAGAGTCGAGTTAACAATAGTGGCAATAAGAGGTAGCAATTTAGTAGGGATTGGGAGAAGAAAGTAATACAATTAAAAAACAAAAACAAGAATTCAGTATTTCGTGTTAAGATAGATAAGGTTCGACACAAAATTATCTTTTCTGGATATTCAATTAACAAGACATGAACAAGATGGAACACTAAAAGGATTCATCTACAGAAAGCCGACATGGAACAGAGAACTCACTAACTTTCATAGTTGAATGCCTTCATATACAAAGAGAAACTTGATCCGTTAACTGAGCCACAGAATCCCTGACACTGTGGAAGAGGAGCTAAACACCTTGAAGTGAATCCTCACTGAAAATGGTTACCCAGAACGTTTCATCACAAAATCTATGAAACCTAAACCACCAAATCTTCCCACACTTCATGTTTCCAAAAACCTCCTCTACTTGAATTTGTAATTCAATGGAGACTCATCAGAAGAAATACTGAGAAACAGCCTGTCTCGCTCACTGAAGAAATCCTTCTTCGCGGCTGAACTTCGACTAACTTTCTCTACCTAACCAATGATTCTCATGAACGTGCATTCACCAGTTCACCTGCTCGTGTAGAGCTGTGTATGTCGGCCGTATCCACCGTCTGCTACCAAAATGTATCATCGAACACTTACCCACAGTCATTGTTTTATAAAGGAGAAGAAACATCCCCCCCCCGAAGCTCTATCCTGGAACACCTGGCCAAGTCAGGACACCAAGCTAACCCGCAAAATACTTCCAAAGTCATCTACAAAATATGTGGCAATCTTGCTGAAAGAGTACTAATCAGATTTCTTCAAACCGTAGAATCAATGGCAGGTAACATGTTGACATCTGAATTCTGCATACGGAAGAATTTTTTTCACTCATTAAATCGTCATTGGACTTGATCTATCTTAACACGAAATACTGAAATCTTGTTTTTGTTTTTTAACTGTATTACTTTCTTCTCCCAATCCCTACTAAATTGCTACCTCTTATTGCCACTATTGTTAACTCGACTCTCGTTCGATTTTAATTGAATTCTACTCAACCCTATCAGTTTTATTAAGTCACTCAATTTACTTAATTTGCTTTATTGTAGTTCCTACCCGATTAATGCTTTCGTCATTACGTAATTAGGAGTCTAAAATTTACAATTCTCGTGATACATCTTAGGAAATATTCATTTTGTTGCTGAGACAATTAATTGTAAATAAGTGATTGTACATCTTGAAATTGATGTTGCCGAAAAGTGTAACTCTTTGCTGAACGCATTTTATTTTCATGAAATAATGGGGATTTTTAAGAACAATTTTGTTCACCTTTCAGATAATGTGCTTCAACAATGCAACAAACAGAAAATACTGAGTGAAGCATATATCTGTGTGAGGTTATGAAGATGTTTATATTAGCGGTCAGTAGAGAAAGTGATGCGATATTATATTATATTTTTATTTAACAAAGGATAAATAGAGATTATTACTGTGGTGCTTATTTCCCATAACTTCTGCTTGTTGATATTCCTTAAATTTGAATTTCAGGTATTCTGTGAGAAATAACCAGTTTTCCTAAGATATATATTATGAAAACTGCTGAAAATAGGCACTTTCAGAACTCTCTGACAGTGGTCTCACTTCACAGTCAAATGCTGAAATTGAAAATTTTATCCTCGATTTACCAATGAAAATTTTGTCTTGAAAGACAATGAAATCTTTGCAATTGAACCAAGTGGTTTGGAGAACGCAACTACAACAAAAAGAATCGTTCACTTGAACTACAAATCTTCAGTGTGTTTAAGTGCCGAAGCTATTTCATTTGAGGTTTGATCTAGAGATAACAACAATAAGAGGACAACTGGAAAACCAGATGGCAGTAATGGATTATTATTTCGGAACTCTGTGCTTCGAATCCAGGAACTTTTGGTTACAAGACGTGCTCGTAGACCATTCAGTTACTTGAACCTGATCCAGTAGCCCATGAACTTCAACCTCTGCCGATTCGCGATATATATTGCAACCACCCGCCAGTGTCATCAATGAGTAACTGCCCTTTTACCTGATCTCGTGGACCACACTGGTCGTGACTTCTCATTGGAACTTCAATTAACTTCCTGCATAGAGTCAGTCGCTAGTGAACATCAGACTAAATCTCAAGAGTCGGCTTACAAGGATTCGATTAGTAACAGGTTTGATCACAAGCTGATATAAGTAAGAGAACCATTCGAAAACTGGTCAGTACTGGTTGGATAGTCTATGAGATTACCTTGTAACCGGAAGGTCCTTGGTTTGAACCTCGGCCGGTGCGTATTGTTAAAGAGTCTCAAAATGGAATGAAACATCTGTACAGTACTTCCAGGTTTTCCAATGATTCTTTAACTGATGTCAACTTATGATCAAGCCTGTAAGCAATCAAATCCCTGCAAATCAATACTTGATATTCCATTTCAGTTAAACAAAATAAAAAAAACATTATCATTATCTTTTATTTACAGAATAAAACTTTTCGAATATAAAGGGATGTGTTTTCTTCACCAAATTGACAAGCCTATTGAAAGTCACATATTTTCTTATTTTTCTTATTGTGACTGAAAAACAAACAAGCAAACTAATAAAACAAAGAGTTGACATAAAGAGATTTTCTTTTCCACGACAAAAAAATATGTCAAATCAAACCAAGTTTCTTTCTATTTCTCCATAGAATGGATGCATGTGGGATGAATTCATTCCTGAGTTGTTGTTGTTGTTGTAATTTTTTCTTCAACTTTTGGATCAAAAGCAACCAATCAGATTCAGCCTACTTGATATCTCGTTCAATATAACATGTGCACTGTCGACAAAAAATATACAAAATTAGTAATGTTGGTTAACCTTAAATATACATTTTGCTATCGGAATTGATTTGAATCTGTGAAGAACTTACTGTAGCTTTATTTGTAAGTTATGTACTTGAATTAAAAAAGCTTTAAACATTACTTTTTCAATTCTTATTTTAATGATTATAACTGTGATATGAAGGATGATTGGATTTCTAATATTGTTTTTATAATATGTCGTATTAATTGCCTAAATACCGTGAATAAAGTTAAAAGAGAATCACTTTTACATTTGAAACATTAATCCGATATTTTTGATTGAATGACTTAGCCGGTGACATTGGCTAATTACCTGTTTATGTGCACCCAAAATGACAGGGTTTAATATTCATAAGAATCAATGAAAAGCTAGATTAGCATAAATTTAATCAAATCAAGGAGTTGGGTAGAAGTGGCGGTATATCGTCAGAGCTTTCGAATCAGATCCCGGTGACTGAATGCTAATTTGCACACCATTTAAGCTAAGGGCTCTGGGTTCAATCCTTAAGGGACTTATGGGTACGCACTCTTGAAGAGCTCACTGTGAACAAACACCAATTCAATGGTCCCCTAACTGAATTTAGTCCGTAATGAAATCGACTGAAAGTCAATTATATCTTCTAAAATGTGTTAAACTGTTTTCTTCTAGATGATAGACAAAAAACTGTATAGAAAAAACTCTTGCATTCATTTGATTATTTTCAAAATATATTTGATACATTTGGTGCAATACAAGAGGTAAATTTTCCGTTTTGAATGATACGGAAAAAACTTCTAGCTGTTGGCTACAATGATCATATCAGTTTAAAGAAATCAATTGATGAAGTCAAATAACAGTAATAAATCTCTAGCTGCATATTACCTACCTAATTTTTAACAGGTTATGTTCTCAACGATTGAATGGTATTGCCTTCTGTCTCAGCGGTTGATGATTTAGATACCAAATGTGAGTTTCTCGTAAGGCAAAACCGAGTAGAACGGAGTCGAGATGTACAGCCTCTCATCAGTTGAAATTTAATAGAAATAAATACCTTTAGATTTCCTTCCTGAGGAGTTATCATCAGCTGATGAGTGTCTGCTAATTTATAACTATTCATTATGGTGGTTAGAACAGTTTCAAGTGACTCTAAACTATAGCAGCCCAAAACGAAACTACGTCTAGCGGCCAATTAGATTCGTAAGAAGTAGAAGTGTGCAATTTGAAATAAACGTACAAATTCAAGTGATGCAATGTTTAAAAAATGGTTACGCAGGATAATATTATTGCATATGTTCGAAAAAAGACCTCTCACTTTCTCACAGAAGTCCTCATAGTCAGGTTAAACCAATTTCTGTAAAAAAACTGTCAAGGTCATCAATTCGTTCATTAGGTAGTTTCGTTTTGGGCTGCTATAGTTAAGAGTCACCCAGTTTCATTCTTGTTATACCTAACTCACCTGTTACTTGTAACAAAACAGTCTGTAATTATTAATTACTGAAAAAAGATAACCTGATTTTTAATCTAAGCAGCTGACGTAAAGAGTTATAAAGCGTGTATACTTCTATGGCTAAAAAGTCTTAATATTTTGTAATATATTGATGCAGGCATAACAGTAGCTTTCATAGTCTACGAAAGTAAAATACAATCTTTTTTGTTTAATTCTTATACCCAATAAAATTAGTGTCCAAAGGTCACTCTGTATCAGTTTTTTGTTAGATATAGCACATGGTGAAACAGGATTAGTTACTGGATGACACTTAGAGCACACTGTATTGTTGAAAGTCATATCCGTTGTAACTACAAAACTTTGAAACCTGTTTATATAGTTCTGTTTCTTCAGTTTTATTTATCCTAGGGGTAGAAGTTTTCAGATGTCCACCACGAGTATAGAAACACTTATGTTGCATCTCTTTTCAGCTGATTCGGTAAATAAAGCTTCAGTTATTAATCCCCTCCTACTATCTTACCTTACATTTGAACACTTTCACCTCTTCCCATCCTATTTTATGGTTATGTGTAACTGCATGTAGTGCTATAGCTGAGCTATTTTCTAGATTTCTTATGTTTTTAAAGTCAACCAAACTAGGTTTTGGTAGATTTTTGCTCATTCCCCATCTAATTAACCCCTTCCTGTTACTTAGTCAATTGTGAAATCAGCAAAAGAGGACTACAAAGAACAGTACAAAGTGTAGATGTGTGGCTGAGGCCTTAAGTTCCCTTCAGAACTCAAGGGAACAATAATAACAATACTTCAGCCTATGTGTGTTCGAAACGTCATCCAGTGAATAATGCTGTTTCACTGTGTAGCACATAGCTTGAGATTACACTAACTTGTTTGCTAGTCTTTAAGAGGAAATTACTTTTCCGTACAGAATTCATAAATATCATTAAATATTGGTGTTGATGAGCCATTAATATATTTGAGAATAACTTTCACTAATGTAAGTGTTGAACTTGGGCACTAAGGTCGAATGTAATTCCATATTAGATAAGTTTATTTTAATTATCACACAGTGATACAGTGTTGAAAACTACATCACTGTGTGGCTATTAAAATAAAATTATCTGTCTGTTTTCGACATAGAACTTTGCACATATGTGCGGCAGTTCAAGTCGCCACACTCCATGTAGCACACAAAGGAAGAGAAGAAAGTAGAAGAAATGCATAATATAGTCAGTAAACAGAGGTGTGAGACAAAGGAATAGTAATAACGAAGAACAAAACAGTTTAATTGGAAATCACAAGTCACAAGGAGTGGATGCATCTGCGCCATTGAGAACGATTTTGAGCCATGTCACCAATTGTTTCCAACCATTGGTTTTTACCGTCCCGAGGACCCCAACCTGGAAGTCTACACCTTCCTACGTGGCTTAGACTAACTGTTGTAGATTTCACTGACTGGTGCCCTGTTTTCGTTTGACCGCCACTAGCTCTTTTCGAGCCTGTCCCTATATCAGCTAACATTGCCCGTCGAGGAAGGCGATGACTAGGCATACGTAACACATGTCCTAACCATCTCAGTCGATGTAATTTCACAGTCTCGTCTATTGATTTCCACTCCTTGCCTAGCACTCGACGCCTAACCTCAATATTGCTCACCTTATTATACCACTTCACACGGGAGATAGAACGCAGACACCTATGATCAAAGACAGCTAATCTTTTCATGTCTTCCGCCCTCAGTGGCCAGGTCTCACAGCCATAAAGGAGGACAGAGCGGACTAATGAGCAGTACACACACCCTTTGTTCGATAGTCGGATATCACGTCTACGCCAGAGAGGGCGTAAACTGGCGTATACGAACCTAGCCCTCTGTATTCGTGCTGAAATTTCGTCTGAGATCAACCCGTTGGGGCTGATGGTACTTCCCAAGTAATTGAAGCGGTCAACGTGTTGTACGACTTCACTTCCTATTTCTACTCTAGGGGTCGGTGAAGTCCAATCCTGTAGCAGCATCTTACATTTTACAGGGGCCAATCGCATGCCAAACATACGAAGATTGTTGCTCAAGGTGTTCAGTAGACTCTGCATTTTGTCAGCATCCTCGCCTAGAAGGACTATATCGTCTGCATATTCTAAGTCAACGAGATTATTCCCTGGTAGCAAGTCAATTCCTGAGTCGCTGAAGTGAGTTAGGGTTAAGTCCATTAGTACGTCTATGATGAAGTTGAATAGGAATGGGGATAATGGGCATCCTTGACGGACGCCTTATCTAATATGGAATAACTTTCACGCCTTATTATTGAGGTCAGACAAGTAGTTAAGACAATCTGGTGATATGATTTCTTTCTGTAACTGAATATTGTGTTACATGACTCGTCAGTACTATGTAGTTATCACGCTTTTTAGAATTAACGCTACGCATGTTGTCTAGTAGGATATAACTTATGAGGTGAAACTCTTGGTCATCAGAGAAAGTTATGCGAGAATCTTAAAGTGTACTTGAAACGTTGTAGACACTCTATCTGAGTTCCAGTATGCTTATAAAGTCGTAGAATAGAGTCTAAAAAGTCTGTTTGACTATAACGTGGTGAGAAATAATATATATATACTTTTGTTCTCATAATGTATGATATGATAAACAGATCCATGTATGTGACATAATGCCATTTCTTGTACAACAGAGGCTGTTAAAACTACTGAATTCAAAAACATTGGAAGAATACCAGAAAAGAAAAGTATGCTAATCATCAGATGACAACTTTTCAGTATCCTGGGTGCTAAAATCGATAGATTATATTATATCATGCAGGACTGTATTGTCACGGGCGATAAAAGTTTAAGTACTATGTAGCTTCCAACCAATCGTAAAATTAATTGAAGCCTAAAGAGAACTGGACAAAGACCTGATTTAACAGAAACTGTAAGTTTACCATTCACAGCATTTATTATTATTGTTCCCTTGGGTTCCTAGTGGAACATAGGGCTTCAACTGCACGTCTCCACTTGCTTCTGTCTTCTGCTGTACTTTTCGCCTGCATCCATGTTAGTCCATACTGTTTCAACTCTTCTTCACACGATCTCCTCCATGTCACCCTTCACTGACGTCCCACTCGCCGCTTCCATTTCAGGTTCCACTCGAGGGCCTGACGCATGATGTCACCCAGCGGCCTCCTCAGTGAGTGTCCAATCCATCTCCAATTTCTCCTGCATATTTGTTGGGCGATTGGTTCTTGTTTTGTTTGTTCCCATAGTTCCTTGTTGGTGATTCTTTCCGGCCATCTAATCTTCAGTATGGAGCGAAGACAGTTGTTGATAAAGGTCTGCAACAGGCTGTTGGAAATATTCTTTGTGACCCGCCAAGTTTCTGATCCGTATAGAAGAACTGACTGACTCGACGTTTGTATTGAAAATTTGAACTTTGTTGTTGATGCTGAATGACGAAGATTTCCAGATTGGTTTCAGGTTGATGAATGCGTTTCTCGCCTTCCCGATTCTCGATTTGACATCCTCGTCCGTTCCTCCTGTAGTTGAGACAATGCTCCCTAGATAAGTGAAGTGAATGAAGTCATCTCTTTCAAATCCCTCCCGTTGATGGTGATTGGCGCTGGATGTTGCTGCTGTTGTTGGTTGGTTATTTCCATAACCTCCGTCTTGTCTATGTTCACCTGGAGTCCTGTCTTTGCTGCTTCTTCGACCAGTTTGTCGGTTTTCGCTTGTAAGTCTTCGATTTTGATTCACAGCATACACATCAAAAACAAATTTTGATTCGTAGACGATATAGCTACAGAGAAGTAAATAATCACTTTAAAATACTGAATCCATAATATTCACATATTGTGAATTAGAAGTTGGTTGTCTGCGTACTTTCATGACGAGACGCCCTTTATCACTTGGTTCACAGGAATCGTTTGAACTTTAATCTGACATTAAATACTTAATCATATTCTACAGTCAAAAGGTTTCCACATCCTACTATGCTCTCATCATGACGACAATGATAAGAAATTTCATTTTATATCTGAAAGAACCTGAAGAGGTTTTGTTGAAAAGAACATTCTGCATTCAGACTGACTTCAAAAATATTAGTTGTGTCTTATTCGATTTCAAACCATAATTTTATCTCCTTCCAGTAATATTTATTAGTTAGACTAAAGTTTGATAGAATTTAAGTTATAAATATGTACCTACTCAGCTTGTAAAAGTAAGGCCATAACAAAAACTACCGCTTAGTATTTGGATTAAAAAGGTATTGAAATGTCTTGACTAAGAGAGGCAGGTCAGATACTTCAGGGAAAATTTGAATTTCTTAAAACTTCAATAAGCAGGCTTGCTCAAGACGATGAGTATGAAAATTAGGGAATGCAAGGTTTCAACATTAAAATGAAAACTGTCTGTCTTTGAGGATTTTGAGAACGAATGCACTTAATAAATATACACAGTAGATTTTTAAATGCTGATTAAATTAACGGAAAAAGCCTTAGTTTAGGGACTTTTCTGTTTTTAAAAGACAATTAATGCACTGAGAGAACATCTGATAGAAGTTTTGTATTTTCCAGTGAATGATAAGAAAAACGATATTGTTTTGTTTGATTTGATTGTTTTGATTGAGAAATACAAAAGCTTTTATAATAATGAATATCATATACCAAATACCCAAGTTTTTTTGAACTGTTAAAAGTGAACTTGGTTTGGATATGTATGAGAGAACATCTGTTTGAAAGATGTAGGAATGACATTGCAGATATGTATCTCAAGTGAGTGCTTTTGGAGTTGTTGTGGTCTTTACGCCGGGTAAATTAGTTTCTAAGCTTCTACTATCCTTCTAGATAACATCCATAGTGCACTGATTTCGAAGTTACCACCTAAAATGTTATCTAAAAGGACAATGAAAGCTTTGTAGTTTATCTACGTGACTCAATGAAAGTAACACCAAAAATAGAAAGTTAATAAATTCAGAAATCAGATGCATATGACAAGTGAACATCTTATAGCTTGATATCTTGAATAATGAAAACAGGTTGAGAGGGAATAAATTCGGATATTTCAACAATCAAATTTACATTTCCTCTTTGATAGTTACACATTAATGCATACTGATGACAATTGTTTTGCTTATGCTATATTGCCTAGGCATAATTATAATATATTTCCTTTGCTCCACAACTTCTTCGATGGATATTGTAGGTAGAATGCTGTATAAACTTTATGGTTGGAAAACAATAAAAAGCATTAGAAATAAGATGAAGATATGGCTTATTTAGCGTATTTCTTGTTCAGTTGTTTAAAGACTGAAAACTAACTCGTTAACCAAAAACGAAATAGTTAGGCCTGTGTAAATTTTATTTAATCATAGTTTTTTGTAATTTTAGTTCAGTGTCTGAAAACCACGTCTTGATGATATATACAACATGCACAATAGCTAGATATCTGTCTTGTCACTAACAGTCACCAATAAATTAGAAACATTTTCTTCTAGACCCTTCAGTCAAGTATAAGGATGATGAGGTAAGGAAATTTTCAGGATGCTCTCACATTGCCGTGAATTTGTGACCTCTGCCAAGAGGATCTATGGTCACACCTTTTCTTTAGCAGCAGTCTATTGATAAGTACCCAGTAGTTATCTCATGCCTCGTTTGAATTGTTATCCTGTGTTCTATAATTAGGAGGTCGTAGAGTATTCTTAATGTTTTGGTCAATGATCATTCTCAAGATACTCTAAACTGTATTAGAAGTTATTAACTTGTATCTCAGTATGTAATTATTATTACATTTTAATGTAGACTGAATTTCATTTGCCGTAATTTATTGTCTTTAAATATTTTTCAGTCCAGGTGCTTACTTCTGTTGAATATCCATATCTTTTAACAGTAATCTGAAATGAACTAACAAGTGTCCTCATAAACCTAGCTTTCGGTGGGATAAACGAAGGAGATAATGAATAGCCTAGCAATGGTTTTTGTTGCATTGAACACAAAACTGAATTTGCATAAATCTACAGGGAATTATGTTTGTTGTAAGGTAGGGAGAGTGAGTTAGATTACGAATCAACTTACAAAAATGATATGACTTTGTTTTTTCACTTGATGTTCATCCAGATTCAGCTTGGATGAAACAAACAGTTACTTCTACCAACACTTGAATAACATTTTGAATCTAATGCGGTTTACAGATATCATTGCATTTTTTGAGATTTTAATGCGTAAGTTTAGTGTCCAGTCTCTCAAGAAAGCCATTTAGATGACTATTATTGAGAAGTTGGCCACAGGTCAGACGGTTGAGTTAACTTTCAACCTGAAATAGGTCATGACTAAATTAGAGCTATTATTAGGTCCCATCATGACCATTAAAGAATCAACCTAAATAAACTACAATGTTTTCAGTTGTGCCTGTGTAAAGAACTATACAAACTTCTAGCTATTTATTCAGACTTTGACCATGTTGTAGTTATAGTTGGTGGCCAATAAAACTATAGTCATACACAGCTCAACTTAGGTGAATCAGATGTAATAAATATTGAAAATCAAACCAGAAATTAATAAATGACTGATTATATTTCATTAAGTGTAAACAGAAATATGTAAAGAAGTTTCCAGGTTACATGCGAATACAAATAAACCACTTTTAAGTTGGAAAAGCACCATGTTCGCAAACCTTTTTCTTCATTCCTTTGAGTTCTGAGTGGAATATAATGCTTGAGGCTTGAAGTTTCAGCAGCCATTGAGTTGCTTTTACAGAATGGCGTTACCAGCCTGATACCCAACCTTCTCTCTTTTCCAAGCATAATGACGACTAGTAAACTGGGTGAGGCTTAGGAGTGCTTCGATAGGGAATCAAACTTGTGATACATTGGTGGTTGTCAGGTATTCTATCACTGAACCACTGACCTATTGCTTATAAATACTTATCCTTATTCACACTGATGCAGGTTCATTTAAATTTGTTAGTTTACTGTTACAGATTTCATGCACAATAGGCTAGTAAAGTTTCTAAAACACTTACATAGCTGGAGAGGTGATTAGAAGCTTTTGTTGTTATGTTCACAAGTAAAAGTGGCCTCATTCGATAACGACGTCAAGCTGTTTCGTTAAATCAGTTCCAGTAAAACAGTTTATAATGTAGATGATATACCAATAAAATTTCCTTAGAAAGTAGTAAAATGCACAACACAGTGTTTTCAGGGAAAGAAATTTAGCTGGTTAACTTCTGTGACGAAAATAACCACATTGTTATGTTTTCATCAGCAGTTTTATTCAGACTTAGTTGACCTAGAAGTCGACCGATAAAAAGCTGTAAGCATAATACATTCTAGTCTAAAAGTTACCAAGCTTCTGCAAAGAATTGTGACAATTTGAGATTGTCTGAGCATTTTGATGGACACTAGTAACTAGTGTGACGTATCTAGTCCTTTCATTGGTGCGGAATGAATTCTATCAGTCAGGTATTTGCAATGTGGCCACCATTCTAGGTAGCTCGCCATCATGGTGCACATTAATTTGATTATATTAGATAGTTGGAGGCAATCGGCAGGAAGCCTTGGACCTAGGTTTCGTGCTAGTTGGTACTCATAATCTGTCTGAGCATTTCAACGAAACTACCTTTCTATGAATGTTCTTTACTTTTGTTGTGATTGGTGTCCTTTCAGACACGTCTGTGTGTAGCATAGTATAGTGTCAGTCATATTCATTATTTTCAGCACGATTAACTTCAGACTTGTGCTAAATAAACTGACTAGAATGACACTGAATGTTCTCCCAAAAATCCTCAGCTTAAAAAATACAACTTCTACACTGTCCCCGTACTGTATATTAAATATTCTTCACATTTTAAAATTGCATCCTTTAAAACAGTTTTGAATATTGTATATTGTGGTTAGGGTCTTATACCAGAAGAAATCCCATCAGACATAAGTACCTAATATCTTTTTCTTGAAGTTAAACACAAAATATTCAATGGAACTAAAATGGCATCAGATGTTTTGATAGGTAAATAAAATATAATAAGGTGGGTACACACTCTTGTGTCTAGTAAGTAGAAGTTAATGTCAGAGAAAATTTGAATAGGTATCAAATAGCACATAATATATAAAGTAGATATCAGGGATAGCAATCAGACGGGTGCATTATACTTTCATTGAGACAGGTGTCCTTTCACTACCGTTTACCTGTCATTCATATTTGAAGTGGAAGTTTGTTCAACACTTTTAATATTTTTAAAATATGATAAGTAAACAGTGGGGGAATGTTGATGACCGAATATTCGGCCGACGTGCAGAATTTATACAGTAAAGATGATAAATTTAGGTCAAATTAAGTCATCTACAAAATATAGTTAAAATTGTCACCCAAACTGTTTTGTGAACACCTTTCAAATTCACTTAGCTTTTTCTCTCTGCTTTTATTCATTTTAAGATATTAAAAATGATTATCAGTTTGACACAGTGATATGTTTCTCTCCGTTCTGTGTGCTGGTTGGATTGATGTAAGTTCTCTGAAATATGAAGAAAAGCAGATCCATGAGGTTTCGTAAATTTTTAATTTAATGCCGTTGTGACACTGTAGCTCATACGTTTTCTTATCTTTTCTGGTAGGTATGTAAAGTACTTGTCGGCAAGGAATCAGCGATAACCAAAGGTGTTTCAATGTTAAGATATTCAGTTTCCCATGTCTTAGACATGAACGGAAGCGAACGGAAGTGTCAGTCCAATTCATCACCAGTAACTGCCACAATAACAACAACGACACCAATAGAAGATGCAAAGTCATACACACACAGCAAAAGTAATGATGAATTCAGAAAAATGTCTCTTAACCATCAAGAATATCATGAAGGGAGACTGACAGTTAATCATGAGGTTTATGGCTGTGCGTACAAAGAATTTTCTAGTAATCAAAGACAAAATAACAAGGGTAATCTGATAGATGAACCACCAAAGCGTCCAGTGAAAGGTTACCAGTTAATTAAAAGGAAATTTCGTCTTACACGCGAAGCGCTTACTGCAGGTTTCAAAAAATCAAACAATCCTCAAGGTGATAATACAGCTGCGGTTAATAGTAAAAATACTAAGAACTCTGAAAAGACTGATAATCTGTCCAATAATAATCACTGTAAGAGCAATTATTATTCTGGTACTATATCACTGAATTCAGATGAATCGAAAAACAATTGTTCGCCTAAAAGACGTTCATCAGGCTTCAGCGTAAAATGTGAAGATTTTCAACCACGTTTATCAATTCAGTTAAATGATTCATCAACTAAAAATGATAAAAGTAATCCCAATGATCAGTGTTATCCTAATGGGGAAAATTTAAATTTTATTAAAATGAAGAAAGAAAATTCACTTATGTCAAGATCACAAATCTATTTGAAGCCAATTCAACATTCAGATTGTTTAAGTTTACAGTCAAGTCTTAAGCTAAGTCAAGCGTCTTTATGGGATACACAGAGAGATTTTTTGTACGGCTCAATGGCACTCGGTGGTAGTATGTTAGGTGTATCAGATATGAATAGTGTCTGTGGACCAATTGCAGCTGGAATAAATGAAAATTATGCAGATTTAGTCTCAGCATTTCATAAAATCTTAATTGCTGTTGGTGAAAATCCAAATCGTGAAGGTCTGTTGAAAACACCAGAACGAGCTGCTAAAGCTATGCTATATTTCACAAAAGGTTATGAAGAACGTGTCAGTGATATATTGAATGGGGCTATCTTTGAGGAGAATCATGATGAAATAGTATTGGTTAAAGATATTGAAATGTTTTCTATGTGTGAACATCATATGATACCATTTATTGGACGTGTTTCAATTGGTTATTTACCGAATAAGAAAGTTCTTGGTTTAAGTAAATTAGCACGTATTGTTGAAGTATACTCCCGAAGATTACAAGTACAAGAAAGGCTTACCAAAGAAATCGCTACAGCTCTAAATGAAGCTGTTAATCCTAGAGGTGTAGGTGTAATAATTGAAGCTACACATATGTGCATGGTGATGCGTGGTGTACAAAAAATCAACTCTACTACAGTGACAACAGCAATGCTGGGTGATTTAAAAGAAAATCTCAGATTACGTGAAGAATTTCTACATCTAGCTACAAGGAAATAACGTTAACTTTGTAATAAATAACAAAATATCTATTATTTTTGAAATAAAAACCCGTCATGTTGTTATTTGTTTTTTTCTATTTATTTACAACAACGAATATAAAATGTAAGTCTTGTATTGAGTCGATTTCAGAATCCTTCACCAACCTTTTATATTTTCAAGTACTGGTTTTGTAGGGATTTTGTTTGATTGGTTAGAGGATTTCACCATGAGCTGAAATCCTTCAACCAATCTTTTATATAACTCATGTGGTATATTTAATGATTTGAGTATAAATGAAATAATGTGTGTCAGTCGGTGATTCGATTATGATTAGTGTTACACAACTGTAACTTATAATGATTGAGGCTTTTTGCTTGTTCATTATAAATTATTGACTCTTTATTGATGGCTTGAATGACTGACTGGTAGACACAGTGACGCAATGCGCGATGTTGTTTTACTGATGTCATTTTTGCTTGAGTATAGTATACAAAGAATTAACACATTCTAGTAACTGTTAGATATCGGGGTTTTGGTTGTAAATACACGGAAACATTTAGTTATAGAAGATATTATTTTACACAGTGATGTTCTAGAATAATGGAAGCACTTCAAAACAGCTCAGTACTAGTTTCCTTAACTGCTTTGATATATATATATATATACATTCCACATTCACATAGACAAGGTAAGTATCATTCGATATTAGAATACAGCAATAGCCACTGATTTCTCTCTGGCAAGGGTCTAAGTTAAAGAGTAAATCAGGTTAATAGGGCAAGACAGAAGGCTTTCCGTGATAATTTATCATTCATTTAAAAAAGGAGGAATAAAAAATTATTGGACATATTTTACGGTCCACTGGAAAGTTTATCAGTATTTGTTCTCAACAACATCATTTATGAGGACGACAAAACACTTAAATTAAGTGACTAACAAGTGTGTACCCCATGAAACGAATAATTCCATGTAGATTTATTTTGCTTTGTCCGTTAGGCTTTAATGAAGGTAGAAAGTACAAAGGTGTGAATAAATGTGCTATATGAGTAATTATTTCAATCCGAAATACTTCAGAAGATTCATAATAGTAAATATTGACTAAAATACATTAACAGAGCCAAGTAACAGGTCATTTCGACCAAAATACTATACTTTAACTGGGATTCTGAGAATGTGAACAGGAGACTGTTGGTTAAGCATTTCGAAATAATTATGTTCATCAAAGAAAAATTCTCATGACACTGAAAGGTATCATTGCCAGTCGTGAATGTTGTAATTGATCTACTTATATGTCAGTCTTTCTAACAAAAAATACTTCAGTAACTGATAATGCTTCGTTCAGATTAATTATATCATTGAAAGCTAGCCATTAAAAATAATGCTTGTAACCAAGCAACATTTGCAATACATAAGTATTGGACAGTAACAGATAGTAATTGTTACTGTAAGATGTTCTATAGACTATAAGTTTACTTCTTGTATATTCTGATAAACCTTAGACGTGAAAAAAACCCTACAAAAGCTATCACATGGTCCGGGGTTCGATCCTCGGTGGAGGCACTCCTTTACCTCGCTAAGCCAGAACCTAAAGCTGGTGAAGAGGAAAGGTTGGGCATGAGGCTAGCAACCCCGTCCTGTAAAAATAAATACTGCTACAGAAGCTTCAAGTTTCTAGCTTGAAGCCCTATGTTCCACTGGGAACGTGAAGGAATAAAAAAAACCATACCTATGAATGTGTACTATTGTTTCGCCATAAACTGCTTTTGTAAGTATGACTGATGAATAATCATAAGACGAATTTTGCATTGTGACATGAATCATGAGATAACCTAGTCGAAAATGTTATCCATCAACCAAATAATATATTTATTGTTTCAGTCATCTCAGATTGCTGTATCTGGTAAAATAATCTAAATATATGGTAATAATGACTAGATTTAAAGGTAACCTCAGTCTCCAAAGGGATAAAATTAACAGCATCTAAGCCGCTAACAAGGGCTATCTGCCGACAGAATTGAACAATAAGAAAGTCCTCCATTTACTTTGATGCTTGATAAGTTTTAACAATAATATTAAAGCTTTATTTCAGACAATATTTGAACACATAATACAGAAATCTTCAGCGTATTTGGTTCTAAAATATTACCTCTTCATACAGGATTTACACGTAAAGTGATAATATGAAGTATAGCATGTAACGTGATGCTGTTGTATATGACGAGAGAACCGATTCTGAAAGCTTTTTCTTCATCTCTTTCAGCGTTTGGTTGGAAGGTAAATAAATATGCGCGCAAGATCATGTAGTGATCATTTGATTTGATTACATGATTTAAACAATAAGAAATGCAGAAGACTTTAAGCATTTTAATCGATGGAAATCCCGGTAGCTTAGGGATTAAGGCAGGCCTCTGGATATCCCAGGCAAGTAAGAGGTAAAAATTGCTTGTTCTTCTCTGAAACTGCTAACTGGTTAAACTTTCATCAATTTTCCGTCACCAGTCTTGTATGATAAGATGGATTAAATAAATATTGACTAAACTCTGATGTAGGGATCAAACATTTTAGTCCTATTTGGCTGACAATACCTTAATAAGAAATTCCTCATCTTCTTAATGGTTTTTGCTGCATGCAATTGGAAAACAAAGCTCGGATGTAGGAGTTGTCACTGTGATTCTTCATTAGTGCAACATAACTAGTAAGAGTTTTTTAATGGATTTCGAAAAAAGCTTCACTATATCTAAAATTACCAATTTGCCTTTTCTAGTAATACTGACATGTTTAATATATAACCACAATGTCTGTTTGGAATACGGAACACTAAAATTTTGGTTCACTTGTACAACTATGTGACACAATGAAAGCACTAAATTTCACAAGAGATATTCTGATTAATTTTCGGTTATAAGCTTATTTGAATTCTTAATCAATAAACTTTCATGTACTTATTAATCGGTCGCTAAATATTGATTAGTAATTAATGAGCGAAAAGCTTAACACTGACTCCGGTAGATTTTCAAGTAGGCCACTATCATCAGTATCACTGCTTAAGTGAACAAAGTGTTTTGATATCTGAAAAGAAATCATAGTAATGAAGTCTTTATTTACTACGCCAACTGTGTCTCATGAAGCCTAAGATTGGCGGTTCAAGTCGTTATGATGTATGTCACTGTTTACTGTATTCATGGTCTACTTTTATGTAAATAAACCACCTAAAAGTATTTCAAGAGAGTATGTTGTCAAAAACGATATATTAATGTACAAACCAAAAGTTATATTTCGAGTGCTGGTATTACTACTACTATTTTTACCGCGTCGGTGGCACAGCGTTGACGCACTCTTTTACCTCGCTAAGCCAGTAATAAGACTGGCAAAAAGAGATGGCTGGGCGTAGGGACAGCAACCCCATCCTGGAGAAAGTAAACACCACAGGTACCGAAACTTCAAGCCTCTAGCTTGAAGCCCTATGTTCCACTGGGAATGTGAAGGAATAAAAAACACTTCTACTACTACTAAGATTACTGCCACTACCTTCACTATAAAATAATGAGTAATTTGTTGTCAAAAGTAGGCAGTTAGGTTGACTAAAATGTGCTGTTCACTGTAATAAGGACACATCATATGTAAAGCAAAAAACGAAATTATGTTAATCTCAATGAAAATCGAACAGAATAGTCTGACAGTCTTATAAATATCAAATTATTGTAAATTTCTCTAGATGTATACATTTTATTACATGTTCTCATTATTCAACATATTTACAGCGGGCTGATTCAAAAATCCAAGCATATTCATATTTAGATTATGTGATTATATTTCTCTTGGTTTAATGCAACATCCCACCTAATTTATGCAAATGACCGATTTGATAAGAAAAGAGGTTGGAAATCACGAAGAATCAATATAGCTAGTCTTTTCTAGCCTGTATAAGCAAGACACAAATAAGGAAGAAAATACAACTGTTTATGAACCGGATTTCCCTTGCCCTATATTTCTTCAATGGTTTTGGGAGATGTATTTTATATTCAAAGAAAATAGTCAGTTTCAGTAGAAGAATAGAGATTAAATTTTATCCTTCATCTTCCGAATGGATGAATGAATCATATTGAACGGTTATTACTTGTCTAAAACTTCCGGAGGAAAACAACATTGAATGGGAATAAAAATAAACTTAAATAAGAATAACCTTATTACTTAGACTATATTCACCATGCAGTGTATAAACATACAGGCTACTTATTATATAATTAGTAGATAAATAAGTATATTTGAATATTTATGGATGTTTACTTCGACTCGGAGATAAATCAGGATTGACAAAAGAAATGTAAGCGTAAAGTGTACTCATCTAGTGTACTGTAATACTTATTGTCGGATGTGAGGACGAATACTCGCCGAAGACATTGGCTGGGGGTCGCGCCATGTCGTGAATTGGCAGAAGTTAGAATTCATGAACCATTGGATCGGGTCGCGGTGGCTTAATGATCTACGAGCTCGCCTTGTAACCAGAAGGTCCTGGGTTCGGATCCTGATGGGTGCGTACTGATGAAGAGTCCCAAACTAGGACGAAACAGCTGTCCAGTACTCCCAGGTTTTCCCGTGGTTCTCTAACTAATGTCAGCTCATGATGAAATCCTGTAACCAGTCAACCAAATCCCTACAAACCAACACTTGAATTTTTATTTTGTTGATTATTGAAAGGATACTGTAGTGGAAGTCATCTGGTGGATAGTGACTAGCAGTGGAATCCTATTTGGGACTCTTTATCTGGATAGGAAAATCTAAAATTGAATTAAATAATCAATAAGACCCGTTGCACAAGAAAAAGGTGGCTCTCGTGACCCAAGTGGTCTAGTGGATAACACTTTGGCGTTTGAAACTATGGACACAAGGTTCGTGCCTCGGTGTGAACATCATCACTCACTGCGGAATGCGGGTACATTCAGACCCGAGTCCCAAGTAGGACGAAATGCACATTTTGGATTCTGCTGTTAGTCACTGTCCACCAAATCACGTCAGGG